ACACACACACACACACACACACACACACACACAGAGAGAGAGAGAGAGAGAGAGAGAGAGAGAGAGAGAGAGAGAGAGAGAGAGCGAGCGCGAGCAAGAGAGCCTTAAATACATTCAGCTCTGTTCTGTCCACAGAGATCTTAAATGTTGAAGCACAGGATCTCCCTCCACACAAGGATAGATACCAATCTTTTTATTTCCTTCTCCTCCTCCTTCTTTTTTTCTTTTTGATATTTGGAGACAGGGTTTCTCTGTATAACAGCCATGACTGTCCTGGAACGCCCTTATTCACGGAGATTCTCCTGCCTCTGCCTCCCCAGTGCAGCGATACTAATATTCTGGTTTACATTCTCTGTGTCTGTCTGTGTCTGTGTCTATGTCTGTCTGTCTTTCTATCTGTCTGTCTGTCTGTCTGTCTGTCTGTCTGTCTGTCTCTCTGTCTCTGTCTCTGTCTCTTCTTTCCCCCACCCCCTACACTGTCTCTCCCATCCCTCTCTGTTGAATGTCAGGGTGTTTGTAAGCCTGTGGGCTGCATTACTCTCTATGCTCCTAGTTGAAATTTAGTCCTAGAAATTATTCCACGTGTAAAATTAGCTACCAAGCGCTGGGAGACTGGGTCCGTGGAGCAAAGTACGCTTCCCTCTGTACACTGACCTGCAAGTTCCCACCCTCACCTGAAGCGTCCTGCGTGCTCAGATTTCTCGGGATATCCGGGAGTGCTAAGCTCCAACTTTCACAGTGGCAGGGCGCCCCCTGTTGGCCGCGAAGTTTCCGGGGTTAAGCCCGGGCCTGAGTTAGCCCTGGGCTCCTAATCACGTAACTCCTGATCTCACTTTCTTCTGGCCAGACACCCCATCTCCACCGAAAGCACCTCCTGGAGGTCCCTGAAATGCGCAAAGCCAATCCCGCTTCTTGTCTCCTATCTCCGAGAAAGGGTCGGTCTGCGTATGACGCCACCTGAAACATTTGAGTAGCTGATTTGCGACCCTCCAAGCACCTCCGGCCCCTGGCTTAGGGTCAGCAGTCAGGGTGCCCGGCGCCCCTGAGCTGCGGAACCAGGGGAAACGTTCTGTCAGCTTGCTCTTTCTCCCCGCGCCTCCAGCTTTGCCGGCGCTTGCTCTTGGTGGCACATACGCTGGTCCTCCCCGGAGCGGCTGCGATTTCTAAAGGTTTATTCAGAGCCTTGGCACCAGAGTTCCAGGCTGGAATGCTGTAAACTGCCCCAGGTGCCTCTCTCCAGGAAAAAGTTCTCCGGAGCTCCGGCTATACACAGATGTCTGCTCTGATCCCCGACAGTCTAAACCTCACCTGGGGCCGAGCTACACAAAGAGTTCCTTTGCCTGCGCCCTCCCCTTTCTCCCTTTCTTCGGTCCTGCACAGTGGCGGGTAAAGCTTCCTTACAAACGGCCACTGCTCCTGGGTTTGTTTTTATTCTGGACGTCGCGCCAGCGGCAAGGGGGCCCCTTGATTTGGCCTCAAATCTTGGCTATCTCTGCTGTCGCTGGGGAGACACTGAGATCCAGTGTCTCTTAGTAAAAACTGCTCCCCAAAGTTTTCTGTCAATGAAACTAGCTAGGACATCATTAAACAGAACGCAACTCCCCCTACGAAACACGGTGGGATTCTCTGGGTGAACTCCAAATCTCAATGCAGAAAATCTATATAGTATACATCAAAGGTTATAGGTAACATTTCACTTTTTGTGGGTATGTTGTTGTTTCTGAAGTTTATTTTTAAAAATCAGAACCCCAGAGTTTGTCTGTGTAGAACTTGTGAACGCTGTCAAATCCTCTCCTGTGATTTTCATAGTTTTTTTTTTTTGAGTCGAAACACTTGTTTATGGGGAGTACTAAAAGTCAGTTAGCCATGAGCACATCACCAAAGGATATTTACATGTGCAAATGAAGAAAAGAGTTAATAGGTTGAACTCTTCTGTAAAAACACAGGAAAAAAAGGTGTCTACAAGAGTGAAGTGGGGACAAAAGTAAGGTTTTGAGTTTAATAAGCTGTGTTGTCTCTTGTGGCAGGATCTATGGGAAAGAAAGAACAGGACTAAAGTAATTAGATAAATACGATAAATACTAAAGTAATTAGATAAATTAGTACCCCTGATGGGATTGGTGATGCAACTCGACGGAAGACTGTGCTTTGTGTGATTGTGACCCTGTGTTCATTCTCTAACATCAAAAACAAAACAAAACAAGGGGCTGGAGGGGTGGCTCAGTGGTTAGAGCACTGACTGCTCTTCCAGAGGACCCAGGTTCCGTTCTCAACACCCACATGGCAGTTCACAACTGTCTGTAATTCCAGTTCCAGGGGACTGGAAACCCATGGCAAAACACCAGTGTACATAAAATAAAAATAGATAAAATTAAAACCAAAATGGGATTGGATTTGAGTGATAGAACTGTCTTCAATGTACATTTTTTTTTTTTTTTGCAGAGCAGTGATACTATTTTATGTATTGTTTTACTGTTGTATCCTCTTTTATTATGTTATGGTGAAGTGCACAATAAGGTTATTAATTCTCATGTTAAGGAAGGCTTGGAAAAATAATTGTGTGGTTAATCACTAATTTCTCATCCTGGAACAATGAGAAAAAGCCACCTTTCTAACTGATTCTGATTTTGCTGATTTTTTTTAACCACCTTACTGGTATCAGCAGATGGAGTCTGCCCCTTCAGAGAGAGGAAATGAAGAGCTATTGATGTCAACCACAGGGGGCATTCCCAGCATGATCCCACGGCAGAGCAGGGGACACTAGACTATGTGTGATCTGGGTTAAGGTTCAGCTGAATTCATTAGACACACAGACCTCCCCCCACCCCAGTTTAATGCACGTAGAGCTTAAACTGGAGGCTGGGCTTTAGTTATGAATGTTTGTCATTTATAGGCTGTCTTGGCGCTTGAGTAGAGCAGTTACAGACTGGACTCACATCTGTTTTGCTCAGTACTGAAAGCCAGTGTTCTATCCATTCAGGGCAAGAATTTAGGAGTATTTCTGAGATACACTTGACATCTGACCCACCCACCTTTAGCATGCTTCTGGTATGTGAGGCTTTTTATAGCAGGTAATTGAAATAATTGAAAAAGATAAAAATAAAAGACGACAGCTTTTGGTAGCAATAACAGAGCAACGTGAGAAAAAGATCTCTGCTGAGGTATCCTTAAAGTCAAACACACCTACATCTGTGGCCCTGGGAGCTTTTCATTCATTTGCAAGCTGGTTTTGGGAGAAATATCAGATATTCCTGCCAACAAGGTAAACAGTAAACTTTATGAAGGACAGCAGT